ATACATAATTAACTAAAATATAAAAGAAAGACCTAAATACAGCTTAAAACTCTCTCTAACTATAGCATATTTAGGTAACAAACCCCTGTAAGTGCTATAGCCAATCAAGCAGACAACAATACTACAGGCAGTTGCATATACTTCAATACAAAAACTGCATGCCAATTTCCAATTAAGTGTTGGTGGAGTATAGTGTAAACTGAACTCATTTTAACGACTATATACACTTGTGTCAACTAACTACATGTACTTTGTAAATCTCGTGGCAAAGTATAGAAGGTGCTTGTATCTCCCATCAAGGTTGGAAAATTTATTTCTCTTTCCCAGTGTATACAGTTGTAAGACTGTATCTTATGTGTCAAAAGAGTATCTAGATCTGCATTGTCATCCAGACATTCGTATACATGGCAAGCTTATGTGTTTACACTCAGCTCCTGCTAAAGTGGAGATTTTTCATAGAGCATGGATCACATGACAAGAAAACTGCAGCTTAAGTATTTTTTGTTGAATGTTTCTTTTGAAATTAAAACTTGGTTAACATAAAAATTCAAACTATAACATACATTATAAAGTTAATCTTGTTGACATACATAGAGAGTAAAGTTCTTTAATTAAATTTTGAATGTAACTCAGTAATGTGCATAGAAATGAATTTAAAAATGGTGTCATCCTGGTAGGGTTAAATGTATTAATGTGATTAGGTACAGTTAAAAATTTTCCACAGGTTTGTATCATTAGTTGACAGGATTTGAGGGGTTGAAATAAGTTTTTTTTTTTGTTTTTTTTTTAGGATTTCCAAAAATTTTAATTTTTTTTTCCTTTTAAAAGAAAAGAAAACCTGCAGTTTTTTTGTGGTTCAGTGAGCTTGCCCTAAATTATTGCTATTTTGATATAAGAAAATTGTTTTGCAGATTGACAAGGTTTTCCAATTATAATTGCCAAACATGAAAAGGTATTTTCAGATAGAGGTATAATTTAACTGTTTCAGAAAGAAATACAAAGTATTTCTATCTGGTATTATTAACCGTTTTCTTGTTGATAATTTGAAGTAAGCTTTACATTGGTTTTAAAATGTGTAATGTTACAAAGGTTTGGAAAGTTACTTAGAATATTCAGTTTTCGTTTATTTTATTGAAGTTCTTCATTATACTTGAGTAACACAAATGGATCTGTGTTGAGAAGTCCCTTTCACTCCTGCCAAGCATTTAACTCTCCTTTGGTTGAAGACATTCATGAAAGATATGGTGGTGATGGTTGCACTGTGCCAGAAGAGCGACTGCCACCACTAGGAGGAATTGAGGACACACCTATTTTGTCAGAAGATGCTATGACAAAGGTTGACATAATTTCTGAAAATTGTGAAACTAGTGGTGCTTTACACAATTCTACCAGTCAAATATCAAAATTAGATTTCTTTAGGTATTGACAGGAAATCTAAATGTCTGAATAAGTGACATGGGACAACAGCTATGCTGTGTACACATACAAGTGATAAAGTAATGCAGTTTTCTCTATTCATATCATATCTTTGTTAGTTTAAATGTTTGATTTTGTTTAGGTTTTTAGTTGTTGTTTTTTTTTTTAACATTAACTTAATAGATATAGATAAGAGAATTTGAATTTTTTGAGAAGAATTTATGAACAAGTTTGTGTTGTGAAAAGTGTTGCTGTTATACAGGTATTTCTTGTGTCAAACATGAGCTCCAAAGCAGACTGAGGTAGAATATTTATCAACCATCTTATGAAGAAACTGACATGAAATCTTTTTATCTGTAAACCATGACAAATAAGAAACTTACTGATCGTACAGATCTGTAGTGTGTGTGTGTGTGTGTGTGAAAATAAAGAAAGATTCCTCAAATAAATTAGGTTTTGGAATTAACAAAATCATATCATTTGTGGAAGTTTTCTGTATGTATGTTGGTGTTTTATTCTTGAAATTTGCCATGAATCTATATTTTAGTGCGTGTTTTCTTTAGATTGGTGTTGTACATTAAACTCCTAACAATATATCTTCTGTGAATTTCATGACATGAATATAAAAACATAGCAAATTTTTGGTGCCTTGATATTTACTGCTTAACGAGTATTCATTTGAAATGTTTTTCTAACGCCAAAATAAACTAGTAAAATATGGGAAAAAAAGGCAATTTTTCTCTGTTATGTGTGTTTCAGGTAAAAAAAAATGTAATTAACAGATACTAAATGCTCAGTATTTTCAGGTATTTATGTTTGTTGTATGAATCTGAAATATACTGATTTAATAACAGAAGTTTCATACTATTAAGACAGAACATGTTACAGATTAATTGTTCTTAATGATGTTCAAATCAAAATATTCAATTTTTATTAGAAATAATTAGTTCTTTTTTTTATTAAAAAAAATGTCATAAGGAACTTGCTGATGCCATTGCATAATATTTGGCCAAAGTTATATTTTTGTACTCTGTTTATGGTTTAATAATTCCACAAAAAAATGAGCTTAAGAATAAACTTGTCCATCTGTATTCCCAGACTTCGCATTCGGATTGAGATTAAACTCTGTTACCTTCTAGAAACTGTTGTGTAGCATCTAAACAAAACTGAGTTTAAAAATAAAATTACATTATATAATCCCAGCCTAAAAAATATAACTTTAAAATAAGCTGTCAATAAGTTAAAAATATTTGTTATTTAAAGCACTGGTTGGAATATATTAGTTCCGTTAGCTTAATTGAACTTGAGTCACCCTGTTTACTGGTGTTTAAATATTTTGACAAAAATAAATATGTACTCATTTTTTATTGTGTAAATGTGTTCTTGTACTCTGTAATATTTATAATCATTAATTAAACATCCTACAGAGTTCATACTTGCATATGTATATATAAAGTAATTTTTGATTGAGACATTGTGTGAATCCACTGTCTCTTGTTGGAAGTGTCATAGCTTTAATTTTTAGAGACAATATACCTTTTAGAACATAGAAACCCATTAAATATGAAAAACAAAAATGTGTGTTGTAAACTAAAATTCAAGCTTGAGGTAAAAGTTATTGTATCATTAGTTAGGAATAGTAGTGAAAACATATGTTTATAAAATCATGTTATATACTGTGTTATAATCTAGGGCATTAAGTTCCATGTTAATGTTTTTTAGATGCTTATTAACATTTTGGGGATTTTTTTTTTTCTGTAATTAATGAATTCCATAATTTAAAAAAAGGAGAGTTTTTGTTATTTAAATTCATGTTTTGCCTCATGTAAAACTCTCTACTCCAATGAAACTGGAAATTATTTAACACTTATATAACATCTCTTAAATATGTGTGAAGGAAGATGGAGTCGTAACCCAGCTGGCCTGACAGACTTCTGTATTAATCAAATGGTCATATTGGCAGTGATTCACAATACCCAAACACTAATAAATATTTTTTGTATTGGAAACCTGTAATGAATGAAATGGTTAAAGTTATTCTCAGTTATTGTATGTATTATTTTATGCTCCTTAAACATAATATACAGCTGTTATCCTTTCATTTTGATACGGTCTTACCTCCTCTCACAAAACTATCTCGATCTTCTTTCTATCCCCTAAGCATTGCTAAAAACTATTAACGTTCAGCACACCAGTTTATATACCACACAAATTGTGTGCCATTTTTGAACATGTATATAGCATGTCATCACCCTCCATCAATAGTATTGTGCCACCTATATTGGCACAGCTGTCTCCCTCTTAATCTTCACTTTCACATGTGACTAACATTTACGATTGTATTTCATTGACATTTCAATATCATTTTCAAGTTTTCTTTTACTGTGTTTGTATTCAATTGTTTAATTTTTTATTTTTTTTACATTCGTTTATTGTTATCCAATTATACTGTAACTTAGAATGACTTTGTGATACAATGCATCAACAATGGAAGTTCCCATTATGGTAGACAATGCCTGTGGTATAACTACCTGGGCATTGGGTTCGACTTTATCTACTGAGGGGGTACAAGCCTTAATTTGCAGGGAGTTAGGTTCCTACTGGCTGGAGGTTTCTTCTCATTTTCTGAGGATGAATACAATCAAAGAGAAGAAAATTGGATTCACCTTTTCTGGCACCTTCTTATTTTAGTGTGTCACATTCTAGATCTTTTTTTCTATAGCTCTTTAATCAGGTATGTGGTATATTACGTTTCCTTGTCCTCCTAGCTTGCAGATGTCATCAATCAGATATTTTTGCTTTTAATGTTAACAGAATCCTCTACCATTCCTCTTATGTTGTTGTATATCCAGACTGGCCCTTCTTCCATTAGACCTCTGTTGCCCAGGAAGGCCATTTAGCTTTCACATCCATTTCTTTACCTTCCATCTCCCTACTGTACTCGTATTCTGATCCCAATCAGCTTCCTTGTCAGGTTTACTCCCTGTGGTGTTATGTGGCACGCACTGCCTCCTTTCAGGGTTCATGTTCCCAAACTTTTATTCCCTGAAACCCTTCTATTTCCTGTGATCTATTCCCTATCACACTAACTGGTGGGTTCACCAACTCCTTAGGCTGGCATATTCAGACTTATCTATGGAAGGTCGCTGTCTCCTCAACATTTCTTCTCATCAAATATCATATCACCACATCTTCGCCATCCATTGGAAGAAATCGTTCAGGCTGGAATATGGACTACTCCCTATTCGTCGGTATTATCTGCACTATCTGGCTGTATCTTTCTCAGGTGGATATTAACTCCCTCCCATGGCAATTCAACACTCGTTTGTCCCTCTTTGACATGGGTATGTCTTTTCACAACATTTCATTTATGTTTTCTTTTCAGGGTTCCTCTTTCACCACCACTTATAGGAACCCACTCTGTAGCAAGTGTTTCCAGGTTAGGTGTGCTTTTACTCAAACCTATACTATATACTGGTAGAGCTATAACACTCGTTGTAGAGATGGGGTGTTCCTCATAACTACTAGTGGCATGCTTAGTGGTATATATTTGTCTTTATGTATTCGTAAGTTTAACTGAATGGTGGACTGTCACTCATGGACTATCATGAGTAAAGCAAAAAGGGATTTCTGCCTATCCCTGCCCACCCTTTGATTGCATAAATTGGAGACAGTCTGCTTTTCAAAATAGGGAATCGTGGAAACCCACTGCACTTTCTCCATTGTGATGTTCCTCCAGACTCCCCACCACATTTACTTACCCCACTTCTTTCTCCTCCTCCCCCCCCCCCCAGATGCTTATTCCCTGGTGGACCAGCCTACACAGAATCCTCTTTGTAATACTGGGTTCAGGATGACACTGCCCTGTTCCCAAGGTTGAGTGCAGTATTTCTGGAGGCTTCCTTCTTTGCTCCTACAGTTGAGTTTGGGGGAATTTATCTGCCTTGTAATACCAGCAACAGGATATACATACACTGTTCCTACGGTTGAGCAAATGTTCCACATCCTCCTTGTAATTCTGGGTGCAGGATGTCTTCCCTGCATTTATGGTTACAATTTCTGCTTTTAATACTGGTTACAGGTACTGTCCTCTTCTTACAGTTTAGTTGAGGCAACGACATGACCCTGTAATGCTGGATTCAGTTTGTTGTACTTCTTACTCCAACGGTGGTTTTAGGAGTTTGTTCTGTTTCAGCTGAATGTTAACTTCCTCTTCATAATTCTAGTTGCTTGATGTATGACACATTATTTACTTATGGTTGGGGTTGGTTTATATATAGATTGTACGGTACACATGCCCTAGCCACAACGTGTGTGTTACTCTAATTTTGTTTTATTCTGGGTGATCCTCAACTTCCTAATACTGAGGATAGATTGTGGAACCTCGTCTGTCTGGTTGAGTAGATACCTAGCCAAGGCTAGTTCTTTTTCTCTATCATTATATTAGGTGAACTGTCCCTTGACTTGCTATTTTTCCTTATGTAGGTATCTAGTTCACTTCGAGTTTTGGTTTTATAAAGCGGGTCTTCACTTACGTGAGCCAGGTATTTTCTGGTCTGATTTATGCAATGGAGGATAACAGAAACTAATGCTGTTTTTTACTATGGATTGCACCTCTCAGAATGTATTAAAATTGTGGGCATGGTTTTCTCCACCTGTGTAAGGTACATTTCCTTCTTACAGGGCGAATAGCTTACCTGTTCCGGAAGTAGTGCAGTGCCCTGCATGTGTGCTTTGGTTTTGTCTCTGAGCACACCAGTTATTTCTATGTGGTCACTTTCCACTTGGTTTCACTGTTAGACACTTACTCCAACCCCTCCACCTTTTTAGTATGGGATTCTAGCTTTGTGTGAGTGGAAGGAAGACCATATTGGAAGTTAATATTTTCCTTGCACTGAAAATGTATTTTTGATAGGTTCTTACCTCTTCTCATACACTTCCCACCCACTGCTGATGTTATTCATTTTAGATGCTGCCAATTCTCAAAAGTGAGAATTGAGCAGGAACATTAGAGGGAGCTAGCTGTGCCAACATAGGTGGTACAGTACTATTGGTGGAGGGTGGTCACATGCTATATACATGTTCAAATGTGGTGCAAAATTTGTAAGATATATATATATATACTAGTGCACTGAGCATTAAATTTTTTTAACAATGCTTAGGGGCAGAAAGAAGATCGAGAGCATGTGGGGGAGGAAGGTAAGTACCTATCAAAAATACATTTTCAGTGCAAGAAAATGCTAACTTAGAGCTGTTCATCATCAGATATATGTTTATTCACTTCTGAATATTGATTTCTACAGATAACATGTCTGTGAAAATATATACATATTAGGTACAAGTAATATTGTAGCTGAGAGTGAAGTTTTTTATACATTTTAGAATGTTTACATGTGTATGTTTGATATTCAGAAATATTTTTATAGCATATTTTTATGTAACTTAAATTCAGCCATCCACATAACTGTTTCCTAACAGTTATTTTTTTTGTAACGTCTTATGACATAGCTACAAGCATTTATGTATGAAATGATATCAAATGTAATAAAATAATGACATTTTCATTTAAAAAATTTTGAATATGCTTTAACGTATTTTCAACATTATCAAGAAAATACCTGCACTACTCCAGCTGTTATTTTGTGGTTATTAATAACTGATAAAATGCTTCACCAAGATATGTATTTGTTGGCCTATATAAATCAGACCAGGTGAGCAACATCATGATGTTTCAGGGCTTGACTGATGTCCCTGTAAACTCTTGTTTGTTTTTTCTACGTGATTCACTATGGATAGCATCTTTAAACCTCTGTATTCACCTATTTTTACTGCAGTCATTATATTTAAAACTAAAATTAACATAATTACTTGTATTGTTTCAAAATCAGCAGCACTGGTTAAATCTGTTTTTTACAGTTTACTAAACAAAAAGTAATACTTCAGATTTTGATCAGCTCATTATAACTTTGTTCATGGACTTGCAATGCTAAAGTCCATGGTTTGATTTCCCACAGTGGACACAGCAGATAGCACAGTGTGGCTTTGCTCTAAAACAAACAAGTATTACAACTTTTTCATGGCTTTTTAAAATAGTAAAATGTGCCATTCAAAATTGTACTTCTGTACAATTACCAGCAACTTTCCATATAACTTTCCACTTAACAGTGTAGTGTGAATGACTAATCAGTTTGATTAAAATTAAATTGAATTATGATAAGATTCACAGTATTAAAGTTCTAAATTAATTACTTGTTCAATTGTGTATCTTTGCTGTAATTGTGCAATGTTTTATCCATAGTGAAATAATATTGGGCAAATTTTTTTTTCTGAAAGCCAAGTGTGGTAAAAAGATAAACTTCAATCTTACCCAAAATTAGAAATTCAAGGTTAATTGCAGGCGAGATGACTTCTTTTGAGGAATAGATAACCTATAGATCAAGATGTAATAAGAAGAGTACTTATTTAATAGTTTACATTGGAAGTTCAAAGATTAGTAAGTCTTTCCTTAACTAAAGAAGGTACTGTGATAAAATGAGAGAATAATTTCTTCTGAACCATCACTAAAATATTTAAAAAATTCACATATTTTACATTTTGAAACTTTAAATCTGTTCTTTAATGTGTTAACTGACATTATATTAGTCTGGACAATACCTATTATTTTCATAGTGCATCCTGGATGCTTTATAAAATGTAAACTAATGTGCAATATTGAATATATATATATATATATTTGTTACATTAAAACATTTTAAAAGACAGAAATAAAGGTTTTGATGCTGAAAAATGTTTTGTTTTTTTAGAATCAAGCCATTTTTTCATCATACATTTAACACATTGTAATCTATGATGAATTCCTATTTAGCATGTCACAAAAAATTAATTTTACTTCAGGTCGAATTATGTTGTAAGAATTGTTATAACTCTTAGGTATCTTATTTTTACATAATTTTAACCAGGTAAGAAAAAATGGCAAGGCTAAATCTTTGGCACTAGAAAGGAAACTTGTACAATCTAGGTTTCATCCTAATTTTTAGTTTAGATGTCAAGAAACCAAACAATTTTTTTGCAGACTACACCTATATTCTTCAATTTTCATAGTCACTTTTTATCTCTAGTGGTCAAAATGTGTTTTAGCTAATATATGTTATTACTAACATAGGATGGATATTTCTTGATTTAAAAATGAACAACTGAACGTTTAAGTTTTTCTTATTAGAAACAAAAAAAAAAATCCAGGATTCTTTGCAGTTTGTGAAGTTAATAAAATTATATTAAGGGGGCTACGTAAAATAATGTAATTTTACTTTTCAAACTCATTAACCTCGGCACAAAGAAAACAACTAAGAACCAGGTGTGTGTGTGTGTGTTTGAATGATTTTATATAAAATAAATCACCTGAAAACTGTCAAACAGACCTAATTTAGGGAAAGCACAATCACTTGTAAGAAAAGTAGTATTGTACAGGATATGACCGAGACATATTTTAAAGCATTATGCACCAATTTTGTAACATGCTGCCATTATCTTTTAAGAGAGATTTTATTTGTTAATTATTAATTCAAGGATCTTGGATAGTATTGACTTGTCTGATACAAATTCAATTACAAATGGCACACCTGCTTTCATAAATACACCTATGTTTTTCTTTAGAATTTCAGTAATGGTTAAGAAATAAAATAAACCTTGCAAGTTGTTTGTTGGATATTTTCTATTTATAGCTTACAAAACCAGAATCTGAAAAGGAAGGCACATGGTATCTAACTATAGATTCTGAAGAAGAAGGCATGTGGTATCTAACTACAGTTGTAGCTGAAATAGCTAGTTATATCATTCTTCCATAACTAATACAGAATACCCCAATTAGTGCTCAGGAAGGGTTCCTGAGAACAGAGCTCTAAACAGGGTCATTTTAACATTACATATATGGAGATATGAAGGCACTGTTTCTTACTTATAAAAGATGTACAAGTGCTTTATTTGGGTTCTGGAAAATTTAACATAAATTACTCCCTACAATATTGTCATTGCTAGAAAACAGCAAAGTTTTATTAACCTTCAATCTTGTTTGGTTACAGAGCCATCAAATAGAAAATCAGACCCCCTCCTGCCATGCTCACCTGTCACATCCTCCCTTTCAGGATTTGTCAATACATGTAGTTCTCGCTTATGTTTACAACTAAATTAGTTATGACCAATACATAGACATGATTTTCATCTATCAAATGATGTATTATATTACATTGTTTTCTGTACAAAGATTCGTTTTTTTTTCGCACAGAAACAATATTGTGTAGACGGATGACATTTTAAGGTTCATATTGCGTCACCAGAAATGCCACAAAAATTGTGATATTTACGGTCATTGTCTACTTTTTGCATGTTATTATTCTGTTCTTTGTTGCTTTATTTTATTAAATAAAATTATTTAGTGTACCACTACCATTAGTATGAAAAAGCAGTGTTCAGAGATTTATGGATTTTCTATAACGAATCAGCTTAAAGCAGGGTGGCACTGTATATATTTATTCAGGTATTTTCATGTAATTTTTCTAAATTGTCTTACAGGTTTTCTGCATGTAGAATGTTACATTCTCACTAATAAGATGTCAATATGTGCTAATCCTTACTTGCACAAAGGTTATGTATGACCAAAGCTATAAGTTTGTAACAAGGGGTAATACTGATGCTTGTACAAATTGGTATGAATGTTTTTTTTTCTCTTCTATGTACATTATTTGGAATAGGCAATGATGTATACAGCTTGGGATTGTGATTTTTGTCCAGTATAGATGTTTTAGAAGATTCCTCTACCACAGCAACCAGTAAGAAGTCATGAAATACAGAAGTTGGCCACTTAGTTAAGACTTACACAACTGATGTTGATAAAGATTTTATTTGTCCACTTATGTACTAGATTTTCCTTTTCAGTTTTTATTCTTTGACCAACAGTCCTGAATACCACACTATCAGGTAAATACTGAACCAAATTATTTTAAAATAACTAAAAATAAGAATTGAAAAATCATATTATATATTTAAATATGCAGTTAATAAATCTGATGTCTGAGAGTTTTGATATAAGAATGAGTTATAACAAACTAAAGTTATAAATACAGTGCAAATATTTTGGGCAAAGCAGTGAAGAACATTATTAAAAATGCCATATAGAACAGTAAATGTGACTTGAATGTACCATACAGTGAAATAAATCCTTGTCATAGTTTTAAGAATGATTATCATTAGCTTAAAAGAATCCAGTTTTATATACTCAATACATACACATGAAAAAGGAAAGCATGCAATGGAATTTAAATCTGGAATTTGTGGCTGGTAACTACGACAAATGTAATAGCATCTCTGGTCCATTATTTATTTGAGCAAAGTTAAATGCAAATGATAACATCAGAATAAATCCACAAATTACCAAAGCAACTGAAAGAAGTACATTTACGAATGCCCTCCAATTTGTTATGGATCTTTTCAGAAATACCATCTTTGTGCCCTTTCAAGATGCAACATGGTTGTGTTGAATTGCCTGCTCTCTTGTTTTCAATTTCATTTTCAGATCTTTTATTTTAGTAGTTATAAAAGCATCCTGAGAAACTATCTGTGGAAAAATGTCTTTATTTAACCATTATATATATGTACAGGTAAAACAGTGGAAACTGACACAGCACTGACTAGGTTAGAAGTGGTTGCTGCTTTGCAACCCAGAAAGAAGAAACAAGAAAATTCTTACTGGCATATCATCAAAATAGCAAGAAATAAAATATTACTGGCTTATCATCAAAATAGGAAGAAATACACCAAAATACCTTAAATATTGGTTGACATTTTCTGCAATAACTCCAGCTAGAACATAAAATACCTTTTTATTTCTATATACACACAAATCTTTCCAAATAACATAGCTCTTAGGTCTATGAATTCCTATTTGTAAAATAAAACTAGAAAATAAGCAATTTTTCTTTCAGAAACATATTGCACAGCTAAATTTAAACATAATTAATAAGGATTAACTGCTTTTAGCATAATTTATAGTACCTCTTATTAAGGAATCAACTCCTGACAAACATAATATTCCATTTCAGATCTCTAATTTTTTCTTTTTATTAGAAATTAATTTGGCACAGAAAAGCGTGCACTGGGATTTCTTTGTAAAGCTATGCAAGTTTTCACATGTAAAATGTTACACTGTACTGGTTTTTCTACTTAAATTTTATGACATCACAAATACATAAATAGTTATTCAACAGAAGCACCAGAGATTTTCATGGTAATTTTTTCAATCTAACACCAGTAAATTTTGTTTTATACAACATACAAGTCAACATTATATTAAGGTTTGTGTTGGGTATAAAAACACTTTTACAAACGATATTATAGTTGCATATTCTACCAAGGTTTTCAAAAAGTTAAAATATTAACTAATATAATTAATCTCATACAAACCATATTTTCAGTACTTTGAGGGTGTTTAATTTTTTGAGTTGAGTTTGTACAAAACATAAGCTAAAAAAAAAAAAAAAAAATATGAGTGTGAGAGGCCTTCCCTGAAGAATTAGAACAAGAAAAAGGAATGTTAAAATTTTTTAAAAGTTGAATGCAACACAAGTTATAAATTTACGAACAATGTTTAACTCAAAAAACATTAGTTATTCAAAGCTGACTTTTTACGAAAATAAATACAGCTAACTTGAAGGAAAAATATATTGCAACAGAAAAATTTTAAACTCCAGTTCAAAACCAATAATTATCATGTGAGCTTTGGACATAACCTACGATATGCTGTTACAATCCTCAGTCTTGAATACTAGGATTAAAAGTGTCAAAGTTTTTCAACCTACCAACAAATCTGAAAAAGAAGAAATCACAGGATTCAAACTGAGCATATTAATTAATGTTGACAGGAGGAGGTTGCTCAGGTATCAGAGACAAGAAAAAACTAGAGATAAAGCTCCACAAGCTGACTAACAGGGAGGGTTGTGGAGTAAGAACTGGCCACAGTTCAGCCTGATGCGGGTCATTCTCAGCATCCATTATAGCTTCTAGTTGACGAATTTCTTCAGCATCCTAAAGAAACATAAAACATATTTAATATTGCACATGTTAATGAGTGACACATTTGATTGACACAACCACGATATTTTTAGCGAAAGCAAACTTGACAACCAGTCTAAAAATTGTAATGAAAATATTTTATTTAGAAAAATAAGTACATACAATATGCTATATACAAGTATTATTGTAACAAGTTGCTGTTTCATGAGCTAGTTTTCCATAAAAAACATTATTTCTTTTCAGTCTGAAAAAATGTTAAAATGTTGAAAAACAAACAAATGTAAAACACTAAATACAGATAGCTTGGATAAATTTTTTTTATCTGTTATGTGATATTCCTGTTGTCTTCAATCGAGCCCATATACTTTACCCTGCAGTTATCCCAGGCTTTCTGGACACGTACACAAATCTTTCAAGAAAAGTGTGAAAAAAACAAATAGTAGTGAATGTATATGAAGGTGTGAGAAGGTTAAACATGTCAGTCCCAATGAGATTTGTTCAAAGCTCCCACCCAAAAGTTGCTAGGTGGAAAGATGTAGTTATGAATAAAGAAATCACTATATTAATCTTTTTTAAATATATCACCATGAAACTTCAACATTTCAAAATTACACTGAAAAACTAAGCATCAACTTCGCTCTATTGGAATTCTCTAGAAACTGGTCAAAAAGTACAACCCGAGTAGAAAAAAAGTTTTGGTCATCATTTACAGGGGCTGCACTCTTTCACTAGTTTCTCCTGACTGCTGAGATAAAACATACCTTTGCATGGCAATAAAGTCTTTCTTCTATCCTACATTAAGTTTATGGGTTGATACTAACTGAAGGTCTATGGTGAACACGATATAAACAAGCAAACTCATTATTTTTAACAATAACTAAAAACAATTTAAAATAATATTTGAAAAATTAATAAATCAATTAATCCTTGCCCCCCCAAAAAAAAATATATGTGCACGACTCATCTACAGAACCACTCACAGCCATATTTGTATTTCATTAATAAAGTAATTAATTAATGGGTAAGCACTATGTTTTAGACAGTAGTTGACTCAACATCACATGACCTTATGCAACATTATTACATATTTAAACATCTGAGCCAAATTACAAACACATTATTGTAAAAATGTTCCTTAAAATATCAACGTACTTTCATGCTTCATTCCTTCTCATCTTTCAAACACAAGTTTTCCTCTCATAAATAGTATGATCATAGACAATGAAAACTAAATTGAATTTAAAGTGAAAGAGAAAAATTTATAGTACAGAATCTGAAAAATAAAATCCAAATTTACTTGTATTTCTCCTATCTTTACTCCGAATCTAAAGGTACTCTTAGTTTTATGAGAGTTTTACTTTAAATGTCTTTATTATTATAAACTTAAGTTATTTATTATTTTTATTAATATTATTACACTCTGACTATAATATTAAGCAAATTTGGGGAAACACTGTAGTAGGAATACATCCAACTTCTCAACCATAACATTGTGGAGAAAAATTAATTACGTCTTCCCAAGAACACCTTTAATATTTTAGTTAATATTTGAAAGTGACTGAAAACTGCCTTTTCATATCTCACAAAACAATATTTCAATATACAAAAAACATTATTCATGATTTTTGTAGAAAAATTAATTCACTGAATAAGTTTGTTATTTTGACCAAATTGTAACCATGAAACTATACTTACTCTAACCCTGAATGTAATAAGTGTATTTTCATGAAATTTGGAAAGCTTTTAGTAAACAGTGCAAGTTCACTGTACACAAAATATCAGATTTTTTAATAGTCTTTTTATTAAGGTTTGGATTGTGAATTTATGGAGTCAGTCTGACTCGGACTCTACCAATTCTAAGTATAAAAAGTTTCTTTCAATAAAACTTTATATTTAATGTATTCTTTTCTCTACCATAACACTAACTGCAGTAAAATCAGCTATTTAGAGTAAAATGAAAAGTTAAGAAATATGATATAAATCTTGGTTGTCCTTTTTAGTCATGGCATAGCAGCTCATAGAATGGCTCCAAGTTGTTATTCAAGTACAAACTTTATTTAGCTCATAACTCCATCCTCTCTTGACCAATTTGAGATATAATTACAGTTTTGGACTTGGGATGTCAAACCCTTTCGACTGATGTGTTTGATCATGCCCAAGGTCTCATAGATTAATTTTCCTTAAACCTGTCTAAAAGAATTTCAATTTGGTAGAGATCCTGATGAGTAATAAAATTGAATCGGGTATATGCGCGCCCCACATATGGTATTGTTGGCACTCAAAAAATATAGCTAATAAAAAGGAAAAAAAAAGGTCTCTTAGATTAATTTACTCTAATCTTGTCCAAAAGAATTTTGGATGCTGTGGCTATTGAGGATTCTCTTTTGTTTCTTTCTATAATGACTACATATTTTAACACACAATTAAACACTACTTATTCTTAAAGCCAAAGCTAATAAATACTTTTCAAATTTGTGTTCATTTAGTTTTCTTTTACAGCTGCACTTAAGACTCTTTCACAGTATGTCTAAAGCCACTTATCACAGCCAGACTCCTTTGTGTAAACAAATGATCAAGTTACAAGCAAGCTTCAAAATGTGTGCATACTGGTATGACAGTGCCGCAAGTAACTTTTTATTTAATTTTTTAAAGTTTTCTTATCTAATAAATGTATAATTTTTTACATTACATATAGCTACTTTTATAACACTAAGTATAAATACACATAAAAAACAATAAATTTAATATTTACATTTTGGCTTGTCTTTTTGAAGTCAGAAAATGAAGCTCTGTAAAACTTTCTTTTTGTAACAATGTTGGTGTTCCAGGCTATAATTATTTTTTATTTCAAATATGCAATTTATAACCCAAAATACTATCACACACAAAAAATAAAATGTTCTGATACTACTATAACTTAGTTGGCTTTCTAACTAAGCTATACATGAGTTATAAAAATTTCTTCAATTGGTAAAACCAAACACCACAAGGGTAAAAATGAAACTTGGATAAAATATTTTCCAAACAGCTAAAAAAAACTAGTCTCATAATAAATTTAGTAAAGCAGAATCTGCTATTTATATTAGTTATAAATAATCAAATATCAGAGAGAATTGTTCACATTTTTTGAAAGAGGGGATATGATACCAGGGGTGTGACATGTGGGTTTGACATTTTTTATATCTTAGTACAAGTTTACATTAAGGCTTAGAATTATCTTTAATATAATGTATAATTTGTGAAATGTGCACTTTGACCTACCTATGTTTGCAGGGTAAACAATACAAATTTTATGAAAATATTATGAGACAGTCTCATGAACATTAAAGATCCTTCACATATTCTTCAGAATGGAACAATTTGCTCTTTTTCTAGAAAAATCTCAAACTAAATTGCAGGAATGCCTTAGAAAGCTTGGGAATATGTGCTTAATAAAGTGTTTTCACCTGGTCTTGAGGATAGCCATTTGGATGTTCCTCTGGTGCTGGAGAGGAAGGGTTCTGGTGCTGCTCTCCAGCTGGATAATTTCTGTCATTGTCTTCTTCCTGATTTCTAGCTGGCTGATTTTCATGAGCAGGTGTCTGTACTCTTCTAGCAAAGAATCCTCCATGGTAGCTATTTAGTGTTAGGTACAATGCTTTCAGTATAATTTGATGTAATTTAGTTAAATAGCAGCTACACCAAAAAAACATCTTAGTTTTACATGTTCTACGGATTACGTAAACTATAACAGTACTCAAATAAATTTCACTAAACACAACCACTTAAATTTTTACCATTTTACTAGAGGATTAATTGCTTTTCAACATGCTTTTATATCATGCTGACAGCATATTTAGAGCTTACTTTTAATAAACTGCTACCAGAAACTTATGTTTTATATTTACTTGCTATGTTTTAAGCCTAATATTCATTTTAATCAGGAGGAAAACCTATGGTGAAACCCAGAAGTTTTCAGATGTCTAAAAGGACCCAAATAGTTTTTCATTCTTGTTATGATTTCTTTACATTTATTATTTTTGCATACTTCCCACATATGATAAACCTATGAAATATGATACTTTATTACTATCCCAGAAATTTTTTGCCAGGTAATCTCTCTCCAGGAAGCTTCTTAAAAACATTAGTTTCAAAAAATATATATACACATATTTTGTTCTTTTATGCAGGTTTGCATCTTAATAAATTTAGGTCTGTAATGAGATGTATAATTTTAAAATACAAACAAGTGTAACTGTGTTCAATTGCTTTTCTAGTTTTGATAAGTATTGTGATACCTACGAGTTAGTATTTATAAGTTAGCTTAATTCACACTAACTTCTTTATTTTATAATATCTATCACTTTCACTGTACTGTTTTTAAAAATAGTCATCAGTAAGCTACTGTAAATAATCTAGTAGCATCTGGTAAGTCATTCTTATATAAACAACAGTTATAAAATTGTTTTTATTGTTGTATCAAGATGAGGAAGGTTAACATGTTATACTTATAAATAGTTTTGTACCAACACAAAAAATAATAAAACAATCAAGAACTTTCAGACAACTAAAACTGGCTTCATAATCAATAAGTACTATAGCAAAACTAATTCAAATGAATACTTTTCAAAATCATATACAATATTACTAGCACTTTTGAATGGTTGAACTACATCTAATATTCCAGAAAAGTTCATACAAAAGTTTGGCAAGGGAGATAAGCTTCAATACACAGGTATATTAACAAGGTAATCTAATCGTAACAAATATTCTTCTGTACTTACAGATATATCAGTAAGGAAATTCCTGTGACAATTAAGAACCTTCCAAATGACGAGTAGAAGTAAACAATGCTGAACAGAACAAGGCTGCGGCAGATAACATAGAAGTAGTCCAGCCAGTCCCGATTCATAACCCCTTCCTCTTCATCATCCAGGATAGGTCCCCCTTGAGCATTCATTCGAACATTGTTATTGTTGGCAGGTTGAGGCTGGACTCTCTGGTTTTCATTAGCGATATTGATGTCAGCTCCTGTTTGTGATGCAGATCCAACCGTTGCAGGAGTTCTTGGCTGGGGATCATGGTTAGTCCCTGCCTGAGCACTGAAATCATCCAAGTGAAACTTCAAAATCAATAGACTAATTATTTTTTTAAATCTAATGTTAAGAGTTTATAAAAATTTAGACACTTCTGGTGCTCACTAAGAATAATCTTTGAATAATAAAACAGGGATTGTTACTTATATTTTACAAATAAAATAAAACAGCTTCATAAGCAACCCTAATAAGCATTTTTAACCTATATGCTTTGAAACAGAGTAACAATCAAAAAGTCTTTCATGTCAATGTGATGGACAGTTAAAAAAAATGTTTTATAGATGAGCTTAAATTGTACAACTGTCTATGAATATTCAAGGCTTTATCAAATACACATAACTGCATTAAACTAAAAATAAAGTTACTTATAAGTATATAAATTCTCCACTATTCCATATAAAGTATATTTATATAAGATATAAAAATTATAATTCCTTGTTATAAGGGTAAGTTTGAAAGAAATAATACTGAGTTAAAAAAATTTCAATGTGCTTAATTTTGATCAGTTCAAAATCATAGGTGCTTAAAAGACAAAAACTGAACTCAGAGCTAAAAACAGCTATAAAAAAAAAATGTGATAATGCTATGAACATTTAGAGGATTTCAGTAAATAAAAATATTTAATACACACAAGCAGATACAGTTAATGTATCTAATGTACGTAATTAATGAACTGACCATCACTAGTTGAAGAAGTGTCTTACGGGATGAAGTTGTAAGGTCGCAGGTCAAATAGGGAAATAGGTATAATTCAAGAAACAGCTCTTCATATTAGAGATATGGTGGCCGTTGTAGTATAAACATCATCTGAGTTTAAGTATTATTGCAATAGTGGTGGCCATTTTTTTTCATTGCACTCCTCCATAGAGTGCTAGCAGTAGAAGCTGAGACATTGTGAGTGTAAGCACTCAGCTTCATACCCTTATTTGATTGATATTTTTATGATTTTCCATGACGGCTGACTAGATTTACATCAGCATATGGATTTTGTTTGATAGATGGGATATTCCCAATACATTTGGGTGCTATTACCACAGACATTATCCATTATGACAATAAGTTGACAACCTGGACTGATCACGGTAATGCAATATTTAATTTATTATTGTTTTATAGTGCTGATTTAATTGCTTATTAACAATTAATGTAATCAATAGTTTGTAAGCTATTATATATATATATATATATATTACTAAGAGTAGAATATAAACTAAATATTTACTGAAACAGAAGTAAAAACAAATATATTTCTGTAACTTACTACTGCATGTACTGGGCTATGTACTGGGCATACATCTGCTGAATGGCAACCATCTGTTGCATCACCTGTTCAGGATTTACGGGAACACCTGGGACAGATGGAGATAAATGCAGCAGCTGTTCTAGGTACTGGTAACTGGGAAAGCTGTTGAAAACCAGTGTTTATTAACATGAAGTAAGCAATCATGTGAATATAACATTCACTAAAAATGTTTTCATAATGTTCCTAATAGTCTTTTTCTCATGTAAGTGACAACTACGTTCAGAGATAATAACCTAGATTTTCATCTAAAAAGAATATCTACAAATGTTTGTATAAATACAGAACCAAAACTTTTTTTGACACAATAGTATATTCAGATTAAGGCTAAATTTACTAGACAAGAAAACCAAGTCACAATTTTTTTTTGCTCTTTCAAAAAAACTAAATATCAAAAACATTTATACATGCTGGTAGGTAAATGTCTGGAATTCAATATTATATTTTTAAAAAAAATTCAGATCAGCCAAAAACAGTGTCAGGGTGTAACAAAAGTTCACTTTTGAATGTTTTTGATTTCAATATAAATTCACCAAAATCTCAGAGAAATTTTTCAACAAACATGGGTAATCTGAAAAGGCTCTGACATGCAAACTGTGCATCACCCCAAAGAATGTTTGGTGTAAAACCTGTCAAGACTAGTATACTTATGACTGAAAACAAATTTTGTGATTTCCTTTATGGGTCCAAAGATTTACAGGTAATTGTCAAGACTGTGTTGTACCAAATGTGACTATTTTAGTGAAGGTGCGACTATTATGTACACTGAACAGAGTTATGCACAAGGATGTCAAGCAACCTTAAACAAAAATGTTTGAGGTTGTGGCAGAGGTTTAAATTATCAAACCAATGTGTTGTTCTTGTTCTAGTAGGAAAATACTCCATGCTACAAACTGTCAAGATTCACACCTGGTTTCACCGAGACTATCAATGTGACCACATTAGAAAGGTCTGCTCAGAGCCAAAATCTTAACCCTAATTAACATCTACTTTCTGAAGAGATTACTTTGAAAACTAAGACTAGACAATTAGACAGCAACAGGCTGATTTCTAAAATAACAAGAGAGATAAACTGTAATGCACACTTATCAGAACCTAGTTGAAAACTTTCCTAGCAGAACAGAGAAAGATTAGTACTTCATATGCAGAAGTGTCTTACTATTAATATAGCAACACTAAGATACCTTATTTGATAGATGTATTACAATGTAGAAAGCACTACTATGGGCTGTACCTGTTAGCATTTAAATGAGTTGTTGACCGGTGGTGAAGAGTTTCAGAACTAGCAGCTGAAGACAAAGAATCACTATGATTACTGATACTTGTGTGGCTTGAACTGGACATAATGCTTTCAGCACTGTTAGAATTTTCACAGGCCTTCTGGTCAAAACACAAAGTTAATATATGAAGCAAATTTATTAAAAACGTCTGATAAAAGTAGCCTCATGATACAGATCATAACTAGTACAATTTAAAAATCAACTTAAAAACTAAGGAAGACAATATAACAAACTGACTACAAATATGGAATATTGTAAATACATTAGAAATATGATGACTGAATACAATGCACTGAATAGCCAGTTGGGTATACTCATGTTAATAATATTTTGGTCTGCAATCCTATCAATATTTCAATAGGTTCAGTTAAGATAAATAATATTTAATGAAACTAACTATAAAAAATGGAATAACTTAGTATATTAAAAAACAAACAGCCATTTGCTATTAAGATCCACACACACTTTACCAATACATAATACATGAATATCCTAATCAGTTTCGTTTTGACCTACCATTACAGTGAACCAACTTCAATCCATTGTGGACCTATCTCATAATAACAAAATTCTTGAAAAATAAGTATAACTAAAGAAGAAAAAAAAATGTTTTAAGAAAAATAAGTTTTAGAAAAAAGACTAAGCATCAGTAAATGATGTTTGAGAAAATCACAAGGAATAGCACATTCCTTTATCATCAGAAGACAATGATAGTTATTCATTAGCAGTGGAAGGTTTATTTATTATTTTTATCATTTTGACATTTTAGCTGTGCCTGGCTAACAATACAGAAGTTGCAATGATGAGGCACACATGCACTCATGTTATCATATCCAATAATATGAAATTGACCTTTAGTATTTACAAAGTGACCTGTCTTGGCTGTGTTTTAGTAGACTAGTATTTTGTAAAATACAGTCACACTTTAATTATTATACATTATATATGTATATAGATTATTGCTATTTAGAAATAAGTTCTTAAACTCATTCTTATTAATACACAGAACAGAAATAAAGCAAACAATTACCTCTTCTAGTTATGGCCTTTGTACTTGGTTGCTGCTCAAATTTCACACATGGAGGATGTGAAACAAAACAATTTTTTTGGTTTGATATAAATGTTTTTAAATTTAAAAAAATCATAAATTACTATACCAATACCACATGATTCCACTATAATTCATCAAGTTTAGTAGCTAAGCTGTACTTGGATCTAAAAAAAATATGAAATTTTGAGCTCACTAATGTCTTATCTTACCACTTGGAATCTAGCATGAAAAGAAAGTCCTCTAGGGGACATTCTGAGCTTTTGACTGATTATACATGTGTCATTAGCCGAAGTAGGTATACATGAGCATTTTCAAAAATTGAAGAGGTGAGTGGGTCCACCTTGGTTGATTCAGTAAATATACTAATATCTCAGAAAATAGAATAGATAGGAGGTTCTCATTTTATATTATAGCTTGTAAATATCGGTAATTTCAGTATCTAATTCACAAGAAACTACAGACTTTGTATTTGGACACCACAAACATCTGATCTGAACCAATGCTGAATTCAACATACCAAGTAACACACAAAAATCGATATGTAGGATATCTTTTAATATTTGCTTTTAAATTAAGAAACTAACTCTCACAACATGGCCTTGGTCAATTTGCCCAACCACGTGACCTCTTTGTACTCGTATAACAACTTTATAGATTTTATACTACTAACTTTTAATATAGTAGGTATATCTTCACAAAATTTGGCATTTTTTCAGTAAACATTACAAGTCTTTCACATATAAAAAATCCTATTTTTTGTGGAGTATTTTAAATATACTAAGAAAAGATTTGTCCATGAATATATCAAGTATTTGTTTTGAATAGTCTGTGTGTAAAGTGATTTTCATGTTAAGATTAAAAACACTTTTCTTCATCTCAAAAATATCTGATTTGATTTGTAAAGTCTATAAAACCTCCTAAATACATTTCAAATGTTTGTTTTCAGTAAAACTTTATATTTTGCCCGTTATTTTCTCTACCCTAACTTATATAACGTTGTTTAATTTGCCCGACCTCGTAACCACCAAAGAACAAGCTAAATTACCCTTATGCATCAAAGAATTGTGAAATTTCACATGTAAAATCTTTATAACCTCCAGATAATTATCAAACATTTTTTTATAAAAAACTATTTCATCTGTTCTTTTCACTATTGTATCTCCATATGGGTTTGGTTGATTTGACTACCTCGTAACCAACGTAAAAAATTTAGAAATAGATATAAATTACATTTTTTTCATTCTAGAATGACTACAAATTATAACAATAAACCACAAATGTTTAGTCTAAATAACTTAAATCTCATAACATTATACATCTATATGTATATATTTTTTTATTTCATTTATCTTTCAACTATGTCTAACATTACAGAAGTTGCAATAATGTTGTGCACGTGCAGTCGTGTTACCGTATCCAGCAGTATAAAACTAGTTTTACAAAGTGACCCATCTTCGGTTTGTTCTAGTGAACCAGTATTTTGTAAAATACAGTCACATTTCGGTTATAATACATTACATATGCATATATATTATTACTAATTACAAATAAGTTCTTAAATTTCAGTTATTTTTCTTAAAACATAGAACAGTAACTAAAGAAATATAGAAAACAAGAATATTTTCTGCTTACAAACTTTGTACTCATTTGCCTGCTTGCCGTAATTTGCTTAGCCTTGTCAAAGTTTGCATGTGGAGGATGAAAAACAAAATTTTTTTTTTATATATATATTCATTTTGAAATAACCAAGTATTATAAATTACTCTATCAATAGTGCAGAATTCCACTTCAATTTATCAGACTTACTGACTAAACTGTATTTGAGTAAAACAAAATATTGTTTTTCAGACAACATTTTCACTTACCACATCCTTCGGTGATTGAAGATAAAGAAATAATCTAGAGAACTTCCCACCTTCTAGAGACTGAGAAAACCACCAGGGGGACATTCTGAGCTTTCAATTGGTTATTCACACATCATAGACAGAAACATAAGCAAATATTTCCAAAAATGGAAAGAGGTGGGCCGGGGTGCTGTGTTTGATTCACTATATGTAGCGATATCTCAGCAAATAGAAAAGATGGGAGGTTCGTATTTTATATTCTAGCTTGGCAATATTGTTAATTTGTGTTTCTAATTCATTATAAACTACATACTTTGTATTTTGACATTACAAACATCTAATTGGAACCAAAGCTGAATTCAACAAATCACGTGACACACAAAAATCAATATTTAGGAATTGTTTTTAAATATTTACTTTTAAATTAAGAAATTAACTATTGTTCAATACTAAAATGTGAATTATAATCTACAATTTGATACCAAACTTATTGCCATACATTCATAAAATAGTAGTTCAATAAAATTTTGAATGTAAGTCTACAAACATGATGACATGCCCTTTGCCCCTGACCATAGGAAGACCCGTAGCGAGAGGGTTAAGACACTCTGTAAAATTATAAAGCAATTTAGGAAATACACTAAATATGCTTACAAATTATGCATCTGAGTTCTGGTGAAAATATAGGAAATTAACAAATGTTTTTGTTTTTGTTTTCTTATATAAAAATTAAAATAATTCTACCTCTCTAGTTTCTTCACTGGAATCTGTCATTTCAGCTTCTTTTATTGTTGAACATACAAGGTGAACTGTATGAGTTTGGTCTTCCATATCCTGTTAAAAAGAAAATTTTTTAAGGAAATATTAACAAAATTATTTCCATATGAAAGAACTTATATATAACATAAAAGCATTTGCATCAGCATTATGATTGAATTATTACTATTACAACATGCTTCTGATGTTACAAATAACACAACCAGGTCAAGGCCTAGTCTTAAACTTCTACAGAAAAAAAAATATAAGGAATTAACATTTAACTCATGACATATCTAGTAGATAATAGACATCATCTTCTCAAAAGAACATATTTCTGACAGTTTTTAGCTTCTCTCAACAATTTTTTTTAAGATAATTATACAATATTACCATAAGTATTTTGGCAAGGTAGAACAAACAGCTTACCATTAATTATGTATCTTTATCTCATATATAATAACAAAAGTTGGTTCAGGCTCATTATTACTGCAACAATCAATGTTTATTGGTAACACTTTTTTTTTTTTCAAAACAGCTCTTCAGCCAAAAAAATATTTGTAACAAATAAACTTGTTAAATTTAGTTTTCCCCATACAATTACTTTTTAACTTGTTTTTCTAAAACACTGCTATTGTTCATTTAATTTTATTTTTAGAAGTTGATTTTATGTCATTAAGATTGTTGGTTTATACATAAAAACACTAATAACTATTAGCACTTATTTTGTTTTAATACTTTTTAGTTTAAGAGCTGTTCATAATAAAGCAAAATCCCTACTAAGAGACAATAATCGTTACAGTAACCATAAGTCTTTTCAGTTTCTATCACCTTAATGCTCAAAATATCTTCATTATCTATGCTTTCAGTACATTGGAAACATTTCTAATCTGACAAATTATCGTGCTTATAGGTGAAAATCCATTCATATTCGCATAAGAATCTAAAATGTTACCAAATTGTAATGCTGCTAATAACATATTTATTCCTACAAACAAAAATTTCACACAGCTGAAATACTTGAATGAAAACATGCTTATTCTATGGGACTGGACTGAGTTTTCTTTGAAAGGACATCAATGATTTTATTCTACACTTCAAATCTACTAAATAAGTCTTATTTTGTAATTTGTGTTGAATAAACTTCTCTACAAAAGTGTTTTCAATTATATAACATATGCATATGGCTCTTTCTTACATGGTTACTAACATGTCTCAAAACATCCTTTAGCCTAAGATGATCATGCAACAGCCGTCCAGAGTAAATAAGCCTTTGGTCTTCTGCCTTCTAAAAAAATAAAAAATTAAAAAAATGCTTCTCAATTTTAAACAAGTTACTTTGGAGGATTTAAAAATGCAACCAAAATATGCAGCATAATATCACAAAAATTCATACAAATAAATAAAAGGCATAAAGAGAATAAGGGGTTAATACCAATTTTTTTTTCCACAATCAGCAACTTTAAATGCAGTGTTTCAGCTTCATTTTTATACAATTCTATGACTTTCTTTCTACATAAATTTTAAATTATGTATCTACACAATTTTCAGACTTACAGATAATCCTTATATAATTCTATATGTTTTAATTAAAAGTCACATATAAAAAAACACTTGTATGCACAAACACAGATAAAAAATCATTGCTACAAGAAGTCAATTGTTGACTTTAATAGGGATTATTTGCAGTTATCAAAATAGGAAAATATCTTAAAAAGTACCTACCCAGATAAAGTTCTAACATACAAATGTACAAGTAAATGAATAACTATTTTGTACATTAAGCACAAATTATATAACTGCTTATGTCAAAACCTTCAACATCTAATTATGAATTAAATGCAAGACTAGGGAAAGTTATAGTGCTATCAACAAACAGCCAAGCACAAAATGATAAAATACTTTACCATTAAGGTGAAAGTCCAAATGAAGGATAACTTTTTTTATTTCCAAAGTACAAATACAATACATACACTGATACATGATTTTCTGATATACACTGCAAAACATATATATATTTCTATGGAGAAATATTTACTTGAAGTAAATACCCATCAAACACAAAAGAGAAAGTATTGTTAACATAAATGTATCTTGCAAAACAAACTACAATTAATTAAATTAACTAATCTAACATAAAGTTGTGTCAGTAGCTCGTACCATTGAACCAATACAGTAACAATGTAATTCAGCTTTAAGTCAGGTGTATTTATTCACATACATACATGTACATATACTTGTACATTTCTCTAGAAATTACTGACTAATCAAAAAATAGCATTTACAAGCTGTCAAAAGGATCCAAAAAATCATTATATGTAATTTATAGTTTCTTTTTTTTTTTGCACTATTACTTGGAAGTACTTTCAATTGTATAATTTTTCAGTATATACATCTCTAACTAAAAATGTATTTTTGATTTGACAAAGAAAATGTAATAACTAATTACATTATATTTACTACACCTAGAAAACTATGTAGAATAATAGTATTAATAAGTCCTTTCAAAATTCTTCTTTAAGACTTGCTGTCTTAAAATTGAAAGTGATACACACATTTAAAAAAAAAAGACCAAAAAAGTTTTTATATAAAGTGCTGAAGGCCATTGAAATATATGTACAGTATCAGTAATCACAAATATTGACCAAAAGAGTCTAAGACTGACCACACCATTATATTTGCATACCAAGCACAAAAATACCATAATCAACAGATAAAATGCAGTAAGTATGTTCAGGAATGTGAAAATTTTATAAAAAGCTCCATGAAAAATACCTGTATTTTGACCCAAGTCTTTTAACTAACATTATGTCTCAATGAAAATTGTTTGGGAAAATTTTCTCCAGTTTTCAGTTTTTTAAATGAATGAGTGTTTTCAAGTATTTACTTGATAAATGACATTATAATCCTAGACCAATGGGATCCACGAGTCCCAACAACTTCTAAGCACATTTCTTTTAAACTATGTTGGAATGAAATTGTTTCTGAGTTCATGACTTTGGTCACAAGGTCCCTAATAGCATACAAGTCACAAAAATATAATTTGTAACATAAATACCATAAATACTGCAGTTACTGCCATTATATGAAATTCACTTATTTAAGATTAAGATACACAGCAAGAAAAAAAAAATTCGCCCATTTATTTTGGTCAGTTCTTTACATATTCAGTTTGTAACATGTAAAAACATAAAATTACTCAACAAGATACAATATACAGATTCTACCTGTACTGAATGATATGTAATCAAGTCAGTAGTTTGAAGGTCAACAAAGATATGATTTTAGTCACATAAAGAGCAATAGAAATCCTTTTCCATAAAACATGTGGCAGAACTACTTTATGAAATATTTTTTAAAACATAAGCCAAAACAAAATATTCCACAGGGAAGTCAATAGAAAAAAATACAAATTTCTGAAGTTCTGTGGAGTAGGCTACGAGTTCATAAATCTGGCTGAGGGTTTTGGGGATGGTATAAGCCCCTGAAAAATGTTGAAAATTAAGTGCTCTCAGAGCAATTCTGAACATGTTGGGGCACAAAACTGTATCCTGTGAAAAATCAACTGTTTCTCCTCAGTAAAGGGGTTATCTATTATGGTTCTTCACCCATGAACAAAAAAACAGTCGATCATTGTATTCACTAAGTTAGTAAATAACTCTATTATCACCCATATGAAATCAAGCAAGTTCCTGCCCAAACTTGAAACTTTTCAGCTTTCAGAATAGAAGTATTCCTTTAGGTCCAAGCATTTTCATTTCAAAGATATGGTGTCCGTTTACATTACGACATGTGGTTAGAACAACTTCGTACAGTTGTCAAAATGTGACTAATCGTCTCAATGATGAAATAAATCCAACAGTATTTTCATCCAAGTTTAATAGCTCATTTTAGAATAAATGGTTCGACACAAATAATATATATGTTAATTTATGAAAAGAGGGTGGTCTACTGATTAAGTTTGTGAAGTTGGATGACGAAATATAAAGGTGGATTTCGATGGATTATATTTCAACTGTACCTGACAATTTCCTGTCTTCACATGGGCATGATGGATGTGGCCATGGCTATACTGCACAGTGGTTATACAGTGAAATGTTGCACGGAGAGCAGCCGATGTGGGAGTCGCATTGAAATTATATTTCAGACATTGTGGTAGTGTAGCATGCACCCCCCCCCCCCCATATATTTTTAAACCGGATTTAAATGAATCACGGAAAAGTGACCCATATGACAAAGGAAAATCCATGAATCCATGAAAAATTGACATTCAAGATTCCAGGACTGTCACCTTTGAAATTTAGATTAATATCTTATTGATTTTCATTCCACACTATTTTCATGTTTATAAAACAAGTGTGGATATTTACACACACACACACATATATATATAAATAAATAAAATAATCTGTCTTTATCACTTACTTTTTAAAAGTCAATTTCATTTGTTTGGTGTGTAATAAAACCTACAGAAATATAAGACACACACACACACACAAAAAAAAAGGTGATACAATAGGCTGTATGATAAAATACTTATTACCAAAGAACAAATGTATGTAAAAAATAAATATTACATGACAAACTTACCGGCTTGCATGAATAGACATCTGATAAATGACTTTTTAGTTTTTCTACTGTCCAGTCCAATTCACAGTCAACTGTTTTATCTTCTACTTTCTGATTCGGAACTTTTACAACCAATTTTACGGGCATACTAAGGGTTGTCTCCATATCAATTTTTTTTTCTTTTGGAGTTAAAAAAAATTTATAAAAAGCACTAAATACATAAAAGAAACAACCACAAAAAAGCATATATAGAGATATATATACACACACATTAAAATAATTTTGAATATGCAAATCAGCAACTCACATGACAAAAGTCAATATAAACTTGTGATGGAACAATATATAAAAGAACAAAGTTTGACACTGTTTGGCATTCCATAGGTTGTATGATGCTACTGAACATTTATTACTTTTAGGAAGGGTATGTAACAGCCCTTTCTGATGCAAAACATTAATAACCAAAATCATAAAAATGTACTTAGATTGGGGATGTCCTTTATACTTAATGGCACTGGAAAACAAAGAAATATGCATCACCCTGGGACAAAAGAGATATGCAACAAGTTATACCCCAACAGTAGAAAGCAAAGTGTAGCATCTTGTAACTGGTAAGACTCCACAAACACAAATGTCAGCGGCAAAATCTGTCCATGTGCCCCAGGCAACAGTATTCAACACAATCAAGGATCTCCACGTGGACACAAGATTATGGATTCACTAATATAAGGCTTCCAGAGATAACTCCCCTGATAAATGAAACAGGTATTTATGCTATGCCATATGGAGACATGTTGGTTAAGTTAGCACATAACAGATCCTTCTGCAATAGAAACCATGCTTCAGGGGTGTTGTAAAGTTACATGGTCATCAGGAAAAGCATGACCAGACATGGCAATATGGACTGTAATGATTTGGTGTTGCTCCAAAATCATTTTAGAAAAATGCACTCAACCAACTATTTATGCCTGATATTTCACCAAGAGATACCACATTATACATCAGATATTAATCAAAATATACTTTTCAAATTAATTGCAATATTTTCTACCAACCTACAACATGTTAATATGATTGATATAAGCTAATGTCCTCTAAGATGAGAAAAGACTCCAAAGCCTATCAACCATGACAAAATAAATGAGAAGTTTTAATCCTTAACCTTATGTGCACATGCTCAGTTCATTGGACAGAAGCCTGTACTACTAAATTCTGAATTTAAGTAAGTATATCTTCCCAAAATCAGGTAGGCTTTTAGTAAACATTAGAAGTATGCTCTAAGTAAAAATCAGAATTTTTAATAAACTATATTTGATAAAGATTTGTTGTGAATGTACTGAGTCAGTCTGATTCTGACTAATCTGAGTGCAAGGCAATTTTTATGTTAAGAATTAAAATACTTATTTTCATCTTACAATTTTCATACATAATTTGCATAATCTCTAGAACCTCCTAAATGAATATCAATTTGTTTCAGTAAAACTTTATACTTTATTATTTTCTCTACTTTAAGCAATATCAGAAATGTAAGATAAAACAAATTGAAAACTACAAAATAAATCTAAGTTACATTTTTTTTTCTTTCTAGAATGACTGCATATTTATTCTTACAGCTAAAGCTAACAGGATTTAAGTCTGGATCACTTTAGTTTTATTGTTTTATAGCTGCTCTAGGACAATCTCAGGGTAAGATTAAGGCCAAACACTATATAGGCAAACAATGAAACAGAGACTAAAGATTTCCAAACATGATGCCTGAATGGACTAGTTTCATAAGGAATCTTGTAAAGTATGACTTTCTCTTTCTATTGATTACAAATAAAGCAATGACAAATGTAAAGAGAATTATTAACATTTTTAGAAAGATAGGATGAGATAAGAGTGGGTGACGTGTGGGTTTGACTTTCTTGTTTATATCTCAGTATAAGCAATATTTCAGTACAAGTGTCTAATTGATGGCAAAAAAAAAACTCACATTTGGTAGAAAGAAAATCTAAAATGGCCAATCCAGAGTGTAGAAGAGTCAATTCAGAGGAGTGAAAATTGAAAATATATCTAAATATTTCCTTTTGAAATCAAGAAATTAAATCTTAGCTAACAAAAATTTGAATTATACATTACATTTTTTAAGCAAAGCTTAGTGACATTTATTGATACCCAGTTTTTAATTAAATTTTGAATGTAATTCTGCAAAATATAATGTCATGCATACTATGACCCCACCCATAAACACTGGATTACAAAAATCATGTAAGGTTAGCCCTATAATGATTATATTTACATAAACATGTGCATTAACTTTTGAAACAAAATTTCAGAAACTTGTATGTTAGACTATCAGTTAGCCAAACAAATGATTCATCCATAATCCTCAAATGAATATTCTAATTAAACAAAACAATTTGCATCCAAATACCTATCCACCACAATTAATGATACCAACACATACCATACTACATAATAAGGTAAAATATTCCACAAGTTAATATTTTTTAGATATATACAATTTCACTTAAGAACAAATCTGGGTCTAGATTTTAAAAGCTTACACTCTATCTCTGATATCCAATTCACTAACCTTGAATATGAGTCCAAAAAAAATCAAAAAGACTTCCTGGACAGCTTATCCAACTTCCAAATAAAATTTACAGAAGAATTTTATCACATCTAACATAAACAACTGAAACTGCTAGAAGATTTTCTTCACATCTCAGAGTTCTTGCACTGGCATCTTGGTAGCTCTCATTTCTGCCTTTCAATAAAATTTATCTTTCCTATGACAGAGAGATTAAACTGAGCAAAGCATTCCAAATGAGGATTAATCAATCTTATAAGAAACAAAAATAATCTTACTCCTAAACTAATAATTTCTACAGATATATCTTTGTCACAAGTTAGCTCATGTTAATACTTCTTTTCTTTTACACCACCAATATTCTTATAACAGGTCTTCAGTTTCTGTATACAGTTATCCCTTGCCATTCGTGGGGGATAGGTTCTAGAAATTGCCACAAATGCTAAAAGCCGTGAATACCATTGGCAATAGAGGTAGTGGCAGAGGACTCAGAGAGGTTACACGGGAGGGCCTGCACAGAAACACCATGGTTGAACAAAGACTTAGAACACATGGGATGCTGTGGTGCATGGCACAAGAGTGTAGGATGCACAGTGCAGCATAATGCAAGCCTCGCACTAGTTTTGGGGGTAGACTTCAGCTGTACCAAGAACACTTGAAACTGCATATGGTAAAAACGACAAATGATAAGGGAGAACTGTACACTGAGATCCCAATAAAACATTCTTTTCACTTCTAGTATCCCTAAAGCTACTTGATATCAGCAAATTTATATTTAAAGTCCTCGTAAGTTAGAAAGAAGTATCATTTATACAAATAACTAACAACAATAATCCTAAAACATGTATCAGAAAAACCACCAGCCATATTCATTTAATTTGAAAACTGTTCATTTATTAATACTTCTGCAGCACCAAACTAGACTGCAGTATATTTTTCATTAATGATTTCTAAAAATAGATTATAACATCTTACAAATCGATAGATGTCAAACTGATAGGCACATAAATTTTGATTCTTCAGAACTTATTGAAAAATACACTGGGTCCCTGTTATACTTTGCATCGCACTGCATAGTTTCATTATTAGAGCATTCCCATGTCATCGACTGCTTTTACAGGTGTAGTATTTGCCAATTACTACCAATATCTTTAAAACAATGTCACCTTGTTTCATTACTAGTGTTAAAACATTGTCAGACTACTTTACCAGGTGTTGTGTTCACCAGTCAATATACAGTACTGTACTAACAACGCGTGTGAAGCAACACTGCCATGTTCAATTACTAGAGCATGCCAATGCTGGTGGACTAGTTTACTGGACAGAGTATGATAAGACAGCAGAAGATGTAAAAATGTTGTGTTCCTGCACCATTGTCTGAGCATGTTGTTTTTCCTGCTGCATTTATTGTTGTTAAGAGCATAGCTACACAAAAGGCTATCTGTGCTCTGTCCACCACAGGTATTGAAACCCAGTTTCTAGTGGTATAAATCCACAGACATACTGTTGTGCTACTGAGGGGCTTTTCTGCTGTAGAAAAGCCATGTTACACACTTTGAAAAACTTACTCAAGAGTGGACCAAAATTTTTCAGGAATGCATCCCCCCATAATACATGTAAAGATTGTGTTGCTTAATGTTGTATCAGACATACATCTCATCTTCCAGGAAAACATCACAACATATATATCTTATCTAGGTTAAATATTCTCAATATTTCTACCATACCAAACTTAACCTCTAAATAATTTAAGGAAAAAATAACTATGATATGTTCTTCACTGAATTTAAGCAAATTCCTAACATTTGTTTACAACTTTTTTCCCTGGTTAAACTTTAATAGCTGTTCTCCCATTATCATTATTTATGTCAATAATGCATATGCTAAATTAACAGATTATTCTACTTGCTTTTTATAATTTTTTATAACTGTTGTTTTCTATTATACATTGTTTAATTCATTAGATCTAAGTATAATCCATCTCATTAATATGTTGCGCCTGTAATTTTAATTTTCTTCCACGAAGAACTTAATTTGCATTATTGCCAAGATATCCCATTTTTGACACTTAATAACAACAAACAAAAAAAAAGAAACTGTCAATTCAGATACTCTAGGACCAAAATAACTTTCCAAATTCCAAAATTTTCTTGCAAAAGTTCTTGTTTATGCCTGCTTTGCATTTACAACTGTGCATTGGATAACTGTTAGGAGGAGATAATCAATTCACCATCAGATTCAGGGAGCCAGCTAAGACCACAATGTGGTGACTTTGGGCCCAGAAAGGAGATCCAAGCTCTGAAAACACAGAGACCCGGAATTGATAGCCCTGTCTCTGGGATACAAGATACCACTGTGGAGAAGTCAGAATGGACCATAATCGCACACCCCCCTCCCATAGGAAAGAAGTGAGACAAAGCTTGATGAACCATCCAAAGCTCGAGAATGATGATATGGAGAAAAGACACTGTTATCGACCAGAGGTCAGAAATCTCCCGATAAGAACCTCAATCCTCTAAAGATGAGTACGTGGAGAAAGATGTAAATCCAGATAAAATGGAGGAAATGGCACCTGTGCCATGGTCTGGTTTCTGTCTAATCACCTAACCAGGGATCAAGGAAAAGTTTCACTGATCTAGCAGCATCCATTGAAGGGAACATATATGAGCCTGATCCATGGGATGGAAAGGTCCCAAGAAAGCCCACATACTCAAAGAGAGAGAGCATATTTAGCTGTAAGAATTGTGAGGTGAGGGACAAGTGTACTACTTGCTCTAAACCTAAAGATGAAGAGGTGAAGGCTGGGTCCAACTGAGATTTGAAAGAAAAAAACCCCAAATGAATGGGATATTGAGAGGGGGTAAGAACAGACTTCCCACTGTCATCAGGAATCCAACCCGTGCTGCTTCCTAGAGGAGCAGAAGAGTGTGGTTTCTGGACTGTGAATGGGAAAAAGCAAGTAGGAGCTAGTCATCCATAGAAAAAAGAGTGCAAAGACTCGTAGCGTGAAGATGTCAGGCAAGAGTTTGTACACCCCAACAAAATACTTAAGGAGCCAAGGTTAGTCCGAACATTAGTGTCCTGAACTGGAAAACTCAATGTACAGCAATAAATAACTATTGATGAAATGGGCACTGTGAGGAAGAACTTCTAATATAGGAAAAAGAGCCAAAGTAAAGCTCAGTCCTATGAATGGGAAAGAAACAAACACATCAGTGATGTAACGAAGCAAAAATATTTTAGACCTACATCAATGAAAACTAAGATAAGGCACATAATTATGAAATAAATTTATTCACATAGAACAATGAATTATATATATTAATAGTAGTAATGAGACATAACATACAAACTATCTAAACATACCTAGTTAACAAAGTACTTATAAATATCAAACAGACAAACCATCTAAGTTTATCTAGTCCACAAAGTATGTAATAATAATAATGAACATGCAAACCAACTAAAATTACCTAGAAAACACATCAATAATCAATATCTAACTTATCATTCAACTAAATTAAACAATACAACAAAGGTCACATAATTAAGTCCTATACTTGCAAAAATTAGGATGATAAACCACATAGTTAATAATCCACAAAGTATGTAATAATAATAATGAACATGCAAACCAACTAAAATTACCTAGAAAACACATCAATAATCAATATCTAACTTATCATTCAACTAAATTAAACAATACAACAAAGGTCACATAATTAAGTCCTATACTCACAAAAATTATGATGATAAACCACATAGTTAATAATGACAAAAAAATTACTTAAGTAGAATAATCCATATTATATGTTACTATTAATAATGATATATCACAAACAATCTAAATACACCTAGTTAAAGTACTTATTACTAATAAATTAATAAACCCCCAAAATTTGCAGACTCTACAAAGTATGTAATAGTAATGAATGTGCAAAATGATCAAATCTACCTAAAAACAAAGTAATAATCAATAACTAACTAACAATTCATCTGAAGTAACTCAGATGACAAAGGACATAAATATCTAATTTACCAAGGTCTGAGCACTGATGACGTGAAATACTTAATTCTCCCATGTGTAAACAAAGGCAAAGCCATACAAAGGGTCTCTGAGCCTTGCCTACCACAGGCACGTCACCCAGGTGTGAGGTTGACATGTTGAAAAACTCACCACAGATCCCCTGGAAGATTTGGAAGCAATAGGAAGAAAGGAGGAGAAGAACAATTCTCTGCCAAAGTGAATGACATGGCAACTGGTGGAAGGTGAAAACTGAAGAGGTGTAGAGTGTGACACACCAAAATAAACTGGAAAAACAGAGTCCAAGTTGTCTTCTCATTGATAGTATTCTTCTTCAGAAACACTGTCACGTTGAAAAGAAGAAGAAATCGCCAGCCAAATATATGAATCTGCAAATTAAGGCCTGTACCTCCTCTGCAGATAAAGTCAAACCTGATTCCTGGGAAATCTTACCAGAAGCCTATTTCGACCGTAATGGGAATTTGCATTGTCGATACATTGATCACAAATTCATAAGATCTTTTAAAATTCAGTAACAAGAAATATATGCAAAAAAAATTTAAATGATGAAGAAGCACATTCATAAACAGTAGCCACGTGTAAAAAAAATACATGTCTAAAGAATGCAGTGTCAATTGAGAAAGTAAGGATTGAGCGGGAATAGCAGAGGGAGCTAGCTGTGCCAGTATAGGTGGTGCAATATTATTGGTGGTGAGTAGTCACATGATATGTACATGTTCAGAAATGGCACGAAATTGATGGTATATATAGACTGGTGCACTGATTGCAAAAAGTTTTTTAGTTATGCTTAGAAGGCGCATAGAGATAGCTTCATATGGAGGTAAGACCATATCGGTAATGTACTTATCCTTCTCAAAGGTGTGTAGTTGAAGAACTGTGACTGAAGTGAGACAAAATCCTGCCTGAATGAATCAGCCAGATGAAGATAATAGGAAATGAATGTGTATGGATTCCTCCATATGCCAGCCTGAAGGATCTCATCCAAGGGTCAGTGAAAATAAGACACAAAAGGGAGACAGTTGACAAATATGACTTAACAAAATGTGAAAGAACAAGCACCCACTCGAGCAGCCAAAGTCTCAAGAAGAAAAGCCTAGTCTGGATAGAAGATGAAGTAACTATGGTGAAAGAGTGCCAGAAGTATCAATGGCAAA